ACGCATACACGCTCACACGTACGCGCCCACAAATAAACTCACGCGCGTACGCACATTTACAAATAAACGCGCACGTACATACGCACGCACGCACACACACAAACACGCTAACATTGTCCATATTTGCAGCCACCGGCGGCGATATCAATTATTGAAAAATCTCTCATAAAATCCGCCACATTGCAGACGACAATTCCCTAAAGAACCACACATCATCATCATCATCATCATCAGCAGCAGCAGCAGCAGCAGCAGTAGTAGCATCATCATCATCATCATCATCAGCAGCAGCAGCAGCAGCAGCGCGCAGTGTTGATTTAACCGCTAAGGCAAAATTGACTCGCACTATACGGTAGACTTCTGCCTCCTTGAGTGTGTAGTATCGATGTATAGAAAGATAAGAACGTAGAAATCAGTATAGGTGACTCGAGGGATAGGATGAACGTGGAAATGAACACGTACCTTAACAGTGCTCGTATCGATTCACACCGTTTATATAAGCTCTCGCCGAGTCTCCTGCGATTCACGAGCGATCAATTCCCCCGAGCCGAGTGAATCCAGCCCCGTGTCTGATACTGCTGCTGCTGTTGTTGTTGCTGCTGTTGTTGTTGTTGCTGCTGTTGTTGTTGCTGCTGCTGTTGTTGCGGATGTTGCTGCTACTGTTGATGGTACTGCTGCTGCTGTGGTTGTTGCTGCTGCTGCTACTGCTACTGCTGCCGCTCCTGTTGCTGCTATTGCTGCTGTTGTTGTTGCTGATGCTGTTGTTGTTGCTAGCTGTTGATATATTCCATTGCTGCAGCTACCGCTAGTGCTGCTGGTTTCGCCGTGTTTTTAATTCGTGCCTAGGCGGCCCTGGAGCGCCTGGGTTAACGGACTTTCGCATTGCATGAGTATTGATTCAAAAGAAGGAGATATACGTCTGAGTGAAACGACTTGGCAGCCTGTAATGTAGACAAAGTGTTGCGAGAGCGCTGGTAAACACTTCAAGCTACTGAGGTCTATAAGGAGCTGCTGTTATTAGTAGTTGGATGAGGTTACTAGTATATGCATATAATAGATGCGCAGGGTTAACAGACAAAAACGTTAACTAAACGGACACAATACGCGAATGCACACAGACGCGCAAGTATACTAGAAAAATATACACGTACGGACGCTCACGCGAACACACATGCATGCGAACGCGCGCCCATACGCACACACGCGCCCACACACGCACGCACGCACACACACACACACACACACACACACACACACACACACACACACACACACACACACACACACACACACACACACACACACACAAACAAAAACACACACGCGCGCGTGCGCGCACACACACACATATATACACGCACACGCACATACACACACACACCCACACACACGCGCGCACGCACACACACACACACACGCGCGCGCGCGCACACACATGCACACACACGCACACGCACACACGCTTGTATTCTACCTAAAATGTCTAACATCATCCATGGAAAATTTGGAAGGATTTCTATATACGCACGTACTGTGGCGGCATCTACATACATACTGCTTGCTAAAACGACGCGGAAACGTCACGATATTCCATTGCATTGCGAATGATCAATACTACTCCTGCCTGTATTGTCGCCGCCGTTTTAAAGGGAGCGACCTTTTTTAATATCTTATCACATACGCTTCAGTAGCAAGCACCCGCGTTCAGCTTGGAGAGCCTTCGTTTGAAATCATCACCAGATTTTAAGAGTGATATTAATGCTAATGAAAATCAACCCCCACCGAACAAAACCATTGCAAGCAGTAATTAGCTATGAAAGTGATAAAAATCAACACTGTCGAATCAAATATGCGTAGGTCGGTCTTGCCTGTGATTCGATAAACGCGAGTCACGTGTCGTCGGGCGTGCGCGGTCGGTCGAGGGTCAAACTACGTATAAGGAATTCTTCGGATTCAATCCGAAGAAAAAAACGAGATTTTATGTGTCTTTTGCTCATTTTGCTGTAGTTAGATAAAAGCAGCGCGAAATGCGCTGCATTTGTGAGCTGTAAACCTAGTAGGGCTGGGTCGATTCTTGTCGGTTGATGCTGGTGACAGGAGGGAGAGTGGCTATTTTCCGGACGACCGATTGGACCATTTTAGTTATCTGGTGACGGGGAATTGTCGTGATTCGGGGAATAGAAGTCAACCGGGACGCCGGGAAGCCGAAATTGCGATTTTAATTAAGCGGTAACTGTGAGATGGCACGTTTATTACGTGGAAAACTGGGAGCGGACCTTCCGTCACACCTGGTTACAGAGCAAACCCCACTCATCTGATCAAACACAAACACTTTAGAACCGGTAGGTTTATTCGTAGAAATAAAATGAAAACAGGTGGGGATAGGGTACGAACGTACCGTCCGTAAGCACTCAAATTAGCAAAATCGTAGAAATAAACATTAAAAACAGTAAAGTGAAAATAGATGCGGAAATATTGTCCATAGATATAAACTAACTGGGGACGGCAACAGTGTTGTAATCACGTGATCACCGCATGCAAAAATTATCATCCAATCAGAAAAATTGCATAAAACAATTTATATCATAAAACATTACATTAATTATCACGTTAATATATCTTTTTGCTGCAGCCATATCACTTTTCCAGTGCTGTCCCCATTCAAATCAATATGAATATGAAAACATATGTCTCGCGTCAACTACGCTAACACGTACCTGTTTACTGCAGACCTTTGCAGCATTTCAGGCGAGTACTGCCAGCTTTTTAGCTGTGTGTAGCAATAAATGATTTATAATCGTATCCTACCTATAATGGTATCCTACCCATAATCGTATCCTACTAATAATGCAGTGATGCTTACGCGTGGGACTCCGTGATGTGTTGCGCAACTTTATCCATGTTTAGCCTAGAGATTTACCCTGGCACAGTAAGCCACATGAAATTGCATATACTTCCTAGCGTGGAATTATTTGTTTCTGGCGAAATGGCATTAACTCAACACTGGCAATGATGAAAGTGAAACGAAGAAGGATATGAACAGATTTCGAGAATTACGGACGGGGCTGGGAGTGGGAGAGTCTACAGCAGTTTCCAACTATCTCCAATCAACCCTGTGTTACTGGTGACCTCTGTAGCCGTTCACCTGTCTATAAAGGACACGTTTGGCACATTGCCAGATATTTATAGCCATTGGTAGTTAGTTATACAGTGAGATGACCTCTATATAACGGACAACTGTCTATGAATAAAACTTTCGATATTTACCTTAAAGGGAGAGCTTACTCTAGGTTCTAGGGTTATTTTGAGCTAATTTTGGTTATAATTACGCTACATAAAAAGTTTCATGGTTCAATCACCATTAGAAATATTTTTTTTAAATGTTTTAAAACTAATTGATTACCAACGACAGGTTGGGCGCCACTCAAAGCGCACGATCTGATAAAGTTGCGCAAAACCACTTTCCCAGCCAAGGCTACAGACCGAGGTGTTTCTGATTTATTCATTTAAAAGCAAAGGATTGTAATATCTTATAAACGACATATAGTTTCAGTTATAATTAAGATAAATTTGCCCTAAAATGAATAGTCGTTATCGCGTTAAAGAAGCCATTTAGGTATAAATAATAATTGCACTTTTATTAAAGCCCCTCGGTCTGTTACCTGTTGCCCAAAATAAAATGCCAAACTACGAACTTTTTCGGGGTGGCCAGCACGGTCGCGGGTGTGCATGGCGCCGTTCCAAATTTCCGTTTAGCCGTTGATGTGTAATTAATGATAACAATTAAATTAGGTATTGTTATACAGTAAGTACAGTTGTATGCAGTAAAATCCTAGAGGCTACTGTCCCTTTAATTAGCAGTTTTACAGTAAAACCACCACCATAGAGCGGTCAGACACCTGTCTATAAATGATACTTTTGGCATTTCCCCGGAGTGACCACTGTACAGGTTTGACTGACATCACATGGTGAGACAGTATGGTTAGGCTCATAGGGTCTATGTCCCCCAGGGTACTATCAGAGGGTACCCTGGGCATGGTTCGATATCGGAATGTACCCTGGTAACTATCTGATATGGTTAGGGTTAGGGTTAGGGTTAGGGTTATGGTTAGGGAGTAGGCGATAGTACCTACTGGGGACCCTCTCAGCTATGGTTACCAGTCTTTTGCTGATGTGTTACCTCACATCACGATTAACATAAATATTATGTCACCGCGTTCTAGAACTACTTTTTTGTTAACAATGAATGTTATAACTTTTTTGTATTCAACAACCCACCAGCTAGAAAGTACTGCATGGCAAGTACCATATAACATTATACAGTTCGTAAACTTGTTCATTTGCCTAATATGCAATGTTTAGCAAACCAGACAATGCTAGAGAGTTTGACAGCACAACAATGAAAATATTGGCCTTATGGACGTTTTTGTTTCACAAACGGAACACTATTAGAGGAATAAAAATCTTGTGTAACAAGATTTGTCACATTAAAAGTGCAAAAACAACCAAATCCATTTCCATGACAACGGTTTATTAAAGAAATTACATTTTAGATTAAAATCAACTATCACTATTTCCTTTCTAGTAAACGCAATTGAAGTCATGTGAATAAATCTAATTCAAAAATAACAAATTTAAGCTCAAAATAGACACTTTCATGGGAAATTTAGGAGTCCTAGTATCCATGTTAATTGGTCATTACCATGGTGATGACCCAACATTTATTTAGTGCATCATGCCACAAAATGTTCAGCAGGTATCATCAGGGGTTAAAAATAGGGGCAAGTCCGAGGTCCGGGACCTGCCGATTTCACGCTCGGACCTTTAGTCCATGAGCCAGACCAGATATTGGTACCACCTGGGGTGGCAAATCCTCACTATGTCTTTTTGAAAGGCCTATGTCCATAGATGAAAAAAAAACCATGAAGCAAGCCGAGACTCACAGCTTAATGGTAGAAATTGCCACTTGTATATGGGCACTCGTGGTGGAGCGGCAGGCGTCTTCGCAATTTCCAAGCAGAAAGTCCGTCAGACCTATCAATAATTTACAGTACTCCACTTTCATCAAATAAAACATCATTAAACCATTGCAAATTGCGAAGAAATAAAGCAAAAGCGAGTAACTCGGAATGCCTGCAGACGACACATGTATTGTATCAAACAAGGGCAAACATGAGTTTGTTTATGTTTGGTTTTGTATCAAAAAATTGATCCACTGTTACCAAACGATCTATTAGCCAAGCATACGTTACATGTTCGGACCTTTCAAATCTTTCATCGGACCTTCCAAAAATATTGCTGAAAAGTGTGATAACCTGTGAGCAAAAACCACTCTTTTCAGCCCATGGGTATCATACCATCATTTTATGTCAGACAAAGTATGCAGAGGTGGTGCTACAACTCGATTCTTTTACTCGGTCCCTCCTCTTAGTCTATGTGTATTACACTGCAAAGTTATTTTTACAACTGCTGCATGGCAAATATTTTCTTGATAATCTTTAAATAGAATCAGATAGCTTTGCAATTACTTTAAGCAAATGCATAATTAGTATACAGATTCTATATTCTGAAAAAAAAAATCCACATTTGCATTAATACAGCCCATTACAAATAATCTGGAGTTATAAGAGCCAACTCCAGGCACCTTAATTATCCAAGCCTGCCTCGATATCCCCCATTACTCGTAGGCACTGCTCCTCTTTCCAGGGTAGTGTTACGCACTGTACTCCCACAGGCATCCCAGTGGCTCCTCTAGTGGCCTGGAACAGAAATACAAAGTTAGGAAGGAGTAGTAGAGCAACATCTGCATCAAAATTACATGACATTTCTTGGCAAAGACAGTATGCCACCATGTAGATTGTAGTAGACAAGTGCAATGCGACATGACAGCGAATCTTGTAAAAGTAACATGCATAAAAAATAAATGTAATATAAACAATTATGGACACAATTATGCTCTCGACTTCATCCAATCCTACGTGATGGCTTACTTATTGATACTTAGATACAAAAAAGGTCTTCCCTTTTCATTACTCAGCTCAATCACGTGATGTTGTGTATTTTCTCTTAGGTATTTACTCTGGCTACAGCCACGAAAATGTTCTAGAAAACACACTGTCAGTTTTAGAACTAATTGGAATTTAGGAGCAATCTTTGAAAGACGGTTGTAAGCATCAAAGACACGCAAGCAATAGACAAAAACGTGTAATTTCGAGGACTTAAGTGCCATGATAAATTTTCCGACTGCTACTCTCTTTCAATGCCGTGGACACTGCTCTCGCTCGTATCTGTGTACTTGTTGTTGAGTGTGCTTACTTATACACTATCATGTGCACGACATGGTCTTCACCACCCTTTATGAACATCAAAAACAATTTAGTACTTCAACAATCTTCCGGTCCCAAAGATCAGTGCGCGGATAGTTGTCCAGTGCCTTCTGGTCTTCCTTAGTTTCCATGGTTACAGGAACAATTCCCGCTGGGAAGTCCAAAAGGTTGAACACCACAGTGTATGTGGCGCCATCTATTAACAACATTTGAAATTAATCGGGATTGAACGTCGGTCTTGAATTTCAGAAAATTGACCGTCTTAAACGTTTTATAGAAACTAGTCATTTACTGCTATTGGTTTCACGCTAACATTGTGTCAACTGTCTTCGCCCAAAAAACTCTGGTAGCTAAGACAGTGGAACTGCACCCCCTCTAGTGTCTACCCCAGCTCTCTGTTTAAATAGATAAATTTACTTGATTGCTGTCACAAACAACATAAGGCAAGCACACTACCAAAAGATCATACAGGCATAGGCATACAATATCCACATCAATAGAAACTCTTACAAAGCATGTCGTGTGCAAATCCGTATGGCAGCGCTGGGTAAGAGAAGGCAGGACAAATCAGTGCATCTAGTTTGGCTGTTTTCCAGGCTGCCATCACTTCATCGATGTACAGCTTCAAGTAAGTGCAAAGAGCCGCATCAGTAAAGTATTTACACTCGTTAAGCAGACCCTATCTGTTATGTATGCAGCATACCAAGAGATGCGAACATAGGGATGAAAAGAAAAATTGCACCATCTTGCTAGATGCCCACATTTTACCATAAGAACAACTTCTTGCATCGAAGACATTTACAGTGTGATGTCTTCAACACACGTGGTGTTTGCGCCAAAATCACGCTGTGATGATCACAGTTATAGCGCAATTTTGGCTCGAATCGAATGAGTCAGACTGCTGGGGAATATATACCTAACAGTGTATTGCGTCCGCGAAATCACGCACAGAACAAAGCATCATACCTGTCGCTCGTTATAATACTTCCACAGCGTGTGCACGTCATTGCATCCTATTGACTGCAGAGCGAGGGTTCCAAAGCGGGGGTACACAAACTTCAGCAGGCGTCCGACAACTGCCTTGATCTTGCTTGATAAGTTACTAAGAAAGTAGACTCCCTTGACAGTATCATCCACATCCTCATCTTTCCTACAGTAAAAGAACATACAGATAAATGCCAAATAATATGCACACCTCCTCTTCTATAGAATTAACTTGCGCAAAAATCACTGCCAGGTAGAAGTACGTATTTTCTATTTAAAAAGCGATTGGGAGTTAAAATTGGGGGAGTACTTTTTGGGTGAAAAAATTTCAGTTTCATGTTATATTACCAGCAGTCCAGCAGTGTCCTCCCATCATCAGCGTTCAGAATTCTTAAGCTCAGCATCATACCGTATTCACCTCCTCTGGGTAGATTGAATGGAACCAGCTACAAAATAAGAATGTATTTCATACAGTGTCATAAAATTTGACGTTCTTATATTCTGATAACTTGTAGCAATAGCTTTACATTCTAACCAAAATCAGTGCTCGAAATAAGCGTTGTCCGGTTGTCCGAGACAACCAGAATTTGCGCCGGACAACCTAACCAGTCTGAGACATTGTCCGGTGGACAACCAAGAAAAATGTGACGAAAAACGCACTTTATTTATGTTTTTCTCAGTGGTTCTCCAAAAGCACTTATAGCCTGGCAGCCCACCATTAATCTATGGTGTGGGAAAGCGACGCATACCAGCTGCTATTTCCAACACTGGTATATGTCAGGTTTTCTGATTTATGAGAGGTGAACTCTATTTGGAACCAGCAAACCAGCAAGTTCACCCCTACATTTTGGTATTTTTATTATTTTGAATTTTCCGATGGCTTTGCCCATGCAAAACAAACAACAGTGGGGATTCATGTTGATCAAAAAGTAAAAAAAAGAAGAGAATTGTCGTAGTCAGAATGA